CAGCAGTGTGATCGCGCGGTAGTTGCAGCAATCCAACTGGTCGCCCTTTTTGTAGATTGGGCATACGACACCTTCCATCTACTCCTCCGGTAATATCTTCTCCTCCCATCGCAGCGCTCTAGCCAGTGCTTCACCACCGTATTTTAATAACTCACTTGGTAGTTGATCTACACCAGTTGTTTTGTGGTTCTTCAGCCGACCGATCTCCTCCTCAACTTCTTGAAGATCACGGACCGGTAGCCTGTCGTCTTCTGCATGTGCTCCAAGGTCTGTTGCTTCACCGTTTTCTGTTGCTTCACCGTTGAGGTGCTCGTCATAGTACTGCTTCCACCTCTCAATCACCTCACACTCGTTCGTGAGAAGGTTACCGTCCAAGTCCTTGCACATATCGGCTTGCGGCACGTAGCCTTTGCGCGAACTATTTAGCTTCTCGTAGAACTTCCGTGTGTCGTTTACGCGGTACAGATTTTCCATCGCCTCGCGATCTCGATCTTCCTGCTGACGCTTCTTCCTTCGGAAAACCGAGTTTTGTCTGTTCCGCGCTTGTCTGTATCGCTCCACATTCAATCTCGTGCGGTGTTGCAGCATTCTCGCCCGTGCTGCATTCTTCTCCTCTACTAACAGTTTGCATTCGCCGTCAAACCAGTCATTTCTTCGGTCCGGGATTGCAGTACCTAGTGCCGCTGCAGCAGTACTACCTATGGCTGAACGGATGTTACTCCAGCCATCTTCAAGAGAAGCTGCGCCAAGCTGCTCTTCCGTGGGTAGTGCAACTTCCAGCTGCTGCCCGTAGTCCTGGGCAACTCCGGCGTCCCGTAGTTGCTCAATGTTGGGTCGTGGCGTTCGACTTCGACGTGTGTTATGCACCGTCGAGAGTTTTGAGCGCATGCATACTGCAACTAGGTAGTGGTCCAAATCTATATTCGCACTACGGTACATGCGGACGTTGATAATGTCGGAGAAGAATTTCCCGTCGATTAGAACGTGATCAATTTGGTTTTCTGTGTGTTTGTCAGGTGGCTTTGTGGATATCCTTGCGATGGAAAAAGGTATTTTGAACTACCATATAAGGGGGCGACCCCGGCGTAGTGGTTAGCATCCATACCTCTCACGCTAAAGTCACGAGTTCAAATCTCACCCCCAGACAAGTCACGAATGACCCAAGAGCGTTCAAGTGACTATAACATAAAAAAAAACTACCATACCCCGAGAAGCTGCACAGTTCACGCATCATTGGCCGTTGTCGTTCGATGCGGCATGCAGGCTGTTTGGCCCGATTGCCGGTCTATACATTGCCTCCCGTCCTACCTGAGCGTTCATGTCGCCGATGATGATTTTGACGTCCCATTGCGAACAGCCATCGTGATCCAGCAGCGCATAGAACGCTTCTTTCTCGTCGTCGGGTCTCGCTTCGTGTGGGCAGTTGATGATGCTGTAGTTGAAGAAACGACCCTTAATCCTCAACTTGCACGGCTGCCAACCAATCACGCGTTGGCGCATCTTACCCAGCACTACAAAGCCGGCTCCCAGCTCGTTGGTGGTGCCACAGCTCTGGTAGAAAGTAGTCGCTCGATGCCCGTTTTTCCATACCTTTTGTCCCGTCCAGCAAAGTTCCTGCAGTGCTACGACTTCGAAGTTGCGAGGTTGAAGTTCGTCATAGACTAACCTATCGCAGCCCGGGAAGCCGAGCAGTTCCATGTTTCCAATCGTAGTCCTTATTTCGTCGCGTAGGTCTGTGTCGATTGTTCCGATCCGTATTTCTTTCTTCAGTATTCGCAAATTCATTTTTTTTCAGGGCGGCTTGTTGGGCTGCACCAACCCCCTGTCTTGCCGGGGGACCATCGTGCACAGCTCTGTTTAGAGTCCCACGCTGGCACTAGGACGGTGATCAGCCGCACCTTCATGGTGAACAGACGCTCGGGTTTGGTTTTACTTTGAATTCAATTCAGGGGTTTTTTTTAAATTCTACTCAAAACTATCTCAGGCTTTACATGAAACCTAAAATTCCTCAGAAATACCTTGAAAGCAGATTGCACTTGATGTTTTTCTCAAAGACATTTTTTCCAGAACTCCCTTGGAATAAGGTCCTTTGAAATTATAATATAATTCCATGAGCCTTTAAAACTGTGCAGGAAGTTTACTCCAGGTTCTTGAAAATTTCTTGAAGCATTATAGGTTTTAGGTCCAGAATTTCAAAAATATGTGGAAAATATACATTTTCCAGAACCAAAAAATAAAAACTTTTCAGTCCTTTGAATTTTTAAAATGTATTTGTTACTGAAGTTAAGTTCAATGTGTGAATGAAAATAACAAGGGAATTAAAAGTTTGTATTTTAAAATGCATCCTTTTCTTTAAAATATCTTTAGTAAGAAAATTGTTAAATTCTCTGAGACTTCCAGGTATTTTCAGGAAAATAAAATTCCCTGAGGATTCCCGGTTTTCCAGTTTTGACAGGTAGTAGTAATGCCGAGGGGTTTGGTCATAAACTTTCTATTGAATCTTTGGTTTTAAAGGTTCATATCGTACATAAGTGTTTATGAATAAGTCTAAAACATCAAACATTTATTTGGTGTGCCATCATTAGAACGACTAGTTTTCTTCTCTTCGGTCAGGTAGTATTTTTTTACAATTATAAGCCACTATTTGGTCACTTTCTTCAACATGGTAACCACAATCACTATTTTTGACAGCCGCTACCAGCCCTGATTCTGAGACCCTTCGGCCTAAACCTGTCCGATAATAGTAGTAAATCCCCAAATGCCAGACAATAATTTTATTGTTTCATTTATCGAACTGTCTGTTGAAAATAGCTATTGAGTTCTCCAAGCAGGATCTCACGAACACTACACTACTAATATAATTTTACACACACTAGCGTATACTGTCATGTGCACGGTAAGAATCAAACATGCATTTATGAGTAAAAGTGAACCCATTGTCAATAAAATTGGCACTGTTAATAAATGAGTAATTTATTATACCAATTACAGTATGCAAAAAAAGTTTATCCACCCCCTACCAATTTACATTTTTTGTTTGTTTTTCTGGTGAAAATCAGTTCAATTTTATGAGTGTTCCTCCATGATTTATCGCTTAGCTGGTGATATAGAACCACGCTTTTTGTACATCTGCACAATTCTAGCGACCGTATCTTTGTGAATCTGGACAATATCGGCAATATCACGGTAGCTTTTACCAGTTTTGTAACGTTCAATACTCAAATTTCGGATACTGATCGAAATTTGGTCTTTTTTGGGCATTTTGAAACAAATAACTTCCAATTTTGATCACAAAACTGAAATTTTGAGCACGAAAACTTCAAGAGCACTAAATGACAGATAGACACAATGTTTACATTCGATAAAGTTGCAGAATACACACTATAACTCTGTGAAACACACTTAAGTCATAGTATCCGTTTGGGGGTGGATAAACTTTTTTTGCGTAATTTTTTACCATTTTTCATAATTTATCACATGGAATCTCAAGAAAAGATATAAATGCCGTATTTTCAATGGCAATGTGATAAATAAACATAAATTGATAAATCATGGAGGAACACTCATAAAATTGAACTGATTTTCACCAGAAAAATAAAAAAAATATGTAAATTGGTAGGGGGTGGATAAACTTTTTTTGCATACTGTAAGTACTAACTGTTAGCTACTGTTAGCAGAAACTCATTGTTGTTAAAATAATTTACTCATTAATGAGAAAAGCCACATTTATTAAAAAGCGTACGGTTTGTTTTCGTTTTGTTGTTTATTTTTACTTTAAAATGACAGTTCTTACAGCAAACAAAAAAAATTCTCACAGCTAACAAAAAACTCACTAACACACGCAAATCTCACCAATACGAACCCGCCTGGAGAGGACTATACATGGCCGTGGGAATACAAAGAAGAAATCTACGAAGAGGACCTAATCCATTATTAAGCTTGAATTACTAACCTCGAGACTGATAAATCCACGAAGATTTGCCGCACTCTTCGCCCATCCGTAAATTTTGACAGTATTGGGTGGTTTGTTGCCATCTCTTTTACTCAGAGCCAAAATGATAGTAAGCAAAAAATGAGGTTAGGGACCTTAAAGTGTATGAAATTTCATCTGTCAAAATGAGTTTGTCAGCGACTTATGTATTTTCCTCGGATTAGCATTGTCACACTCACACACAGCACTCCAAAAAAACCGAGCGTGATAATCTCTATTGCCAAGAACATTCCGTACCAGTGCAAAGAAATCAATCTTATATTATATATTAAATTAATTGTATGCGTTAATATTTTCAGGAGTGTCTAAAAAATCGAAGTCAACATTAACATATCAAGAAAACTGTCAACTTTCCTCCTTTTTTATCTTTGTATAAGAGTGGTTACCCGAGCAAAGCTGAAGATCAAATTGAAATCAAAATTTGCTGTTATGATGTTACTTCTTTTGAATACTCCATTTGTCTCATTTTGGTTGACTTAACGGTTAACACAGCAAAAATGAGAGCAAAATGTTACACTGTTGAATCAAACTAATCCTGCTATCGATTAAATCAATTTGATTACTGATTTTGCATTCATGTTGTTTAACTGAATACGGGCTTGGTGTAAAAGGTTAGCATCCATGCTTCTCACGCTGAAAGACTTGAGCTCAAATCTCACATAAACAATAATCGTTAGTTCAACAACAGATGAACATAAATTAAATTTTAAACAAGACGTTAACTGAAGAACTTCAAGTTAAGTTGTTTTTATTTAAAAAGTCTTGACTGCATAATGAAATCACAATATGATATCAGACTTCTGTCGCGGGAATTGAAATCAAAATTAGTTTTCATTATGATAGGAACTGCAAACTTTAATATCGATATGCTTTCATTTTGTTAACCGACTTTGCTCGGGTAGTCTGCTTGATATGTTGTCTTCGAAAAGTGTAACTTCTTGATATGGAATTATACAAAACGAAATGTTTCACTAAATCTACTCCTTCGTTTCCGCTTTCACCCTTACAGTTTTCAACCACGTGATACCTAGTATGAATCCGCAAGAACTTAGTACTATGGTTTGGATGGGACAGTTCGCCTCGCCACTGGATGAAAACCTTGCCAATCTGTACGGGCAGCCAGTTCCAGCCGTTATGGACGACATGTCACAGCCAGCTCCCTCTATGGTACGTATCCTTAACCTTAAGATTTCCATCCCACAATTACCTTAGAAATAAAAAAAAACGAGGGTTTCATTTAGTACACTTTTCCATTCGCTTTTTACCTTCAAGTGCCTGCCTAAGTTTGCTTAGATTTTGATTTATTTTGTCTAATTTTGTTTTCCTTTTTTTCTCTTTTCTTTTTTGGTTTCGTTTTTCGCCCATTTTCGTCCGGAAATACCAACATTTCACTACACTTACACACATTCCGGTAAACAACCGTCTTGAATTTTTTTGAATGATAAAAAAACGATACCCCTGTGCTTGTGGATTGGCGAACTTCGTAGGATATGAACCCAGCGATTGGATCGTTGATCGGTGACTACAGTGGCCATGTGACGGCAATCCCAACGCCCACGGGTGGCCTCACGACGATGCCGAATCCCGATCTGGCCATCACTAATCCGGAACTGTTCAATCTCCAACAGCAGCAGTTGCAGCTGCAGCAACAACTGAGCCTAGGGAATTATAGCTTCCTGGAGCAGAGTGGACTAGCTGGTCAGTTATCTGGGGTGGCTGGCGGTTCCTGCGGTGTAGTTGGTGGCGATGGTGATGATTCGACCGGAGCCACGCGAATAATCGACGACGACGAGGAAGACGATCATCTCAACGATGAAGAGCATGCGATGGAAACGTACGAACACTACCAACGGATGGTGGAAGCTGGTAATGAGTACCTGACCGTCACTGGACAGGAGAACCTGCTCGGGTACAAACTGATGAACGAAGCTCAGCTGCTGCAGCCCCAGGGAAGCTTCCTGGACTATGATGGAGGTGCCAATGGGGACGGTTCGTCGAGTCCTATCCACGAAGGAATGAAGATGGGCGGAATGGTAGAACAGATGGCTGCGGTTGCCAATGCGATGGCGCCTGGAGCGTCGGGAAGAGGGCACGGGATGGGCGACACGAGTGGGCCATCGGTACGATTTACGAATAAAAAAATTAAACCTGTAAAACGACCCGGGCTGGTACTGAAGACACCGATTGCGTACAAGGGCGATATCGATCCGTCAGTGATACCGATCCAGCGTGATGGAATGGGTAGGTTTTGTTGTATATCCTTTTTTTTCGGGTGTTTGCTTCCGGCTTGAGTTCGAGGATTCTCCTCCTGATAGGGTGGGTTGTTAATCGATCCATACTGTAACTGTTCACAAGCACTTGATCACTGACGAGCTTTTCCCACATGCGAACGATTCCGTTTACTCTTGCTTTCCGCTTCTTCTTTTTTCTCATTTTTCTCGCACAGCCATTTGTGAAAAGTGTGGTGCAATAGGAGTGAAGCACTCGTTCTACACCAAGCAGCGTCGGTTCTGTAGCATGACCTGCGCCCGTTCCTTCGACGCGTTACGTTTGTACGGCAGTACCAACAGCAGCTCTTCATCGGCAACGCTGGCCAGCAGCAAAGCGACGATAGCCAGTCTGGAGGATAGCCTTCCCTCGCTGGCTACACCATCGGCACTACCTCCTGAGCAACTGATAGACGACTCGGCGGACGAAGAATCTTCCAATACGGCAGCGGCCAGTGGTGCCGCGAACGAAGTCGACATCGACAGCAAACATCTCCTACACCAGCAACTAGCTCTACAGCAGGCTCAACAACAACATCAGCAACATCAGCTACAGCAAATTCAACACCACCAACAACTACAACAGCAGCAGCAACAACAACAACAACAACAACAACAACAACAACAGCAAGTACAAAACATCAGCTATAGATTCAAGATGTCTCAAACTGGGTAGGTTCTCCGATGGGTTACAGTCCAAATCGACACTTAGATATTGATAAAAAAAAACCTCAGACTGGTACCTAATTTACAACGCATACGGTTACACGGAAAATTCGGGGATTTCTGGGATTATTTAGAAAACATTCGGGACTCTTATGCAACTCTCAGAGACAATTAGGGGTAACTTTGAATGATTTAATCCAGAAAGGGGGACGTATTTCAAGTCTCATGAAAATTTCAAGATAGGTTCAGTAGACATACCAAACTAAGTTGTGGTGTCTAAAGTTATCAGGGTTAGATCTTGTAATCCGAACACGATGCCTCCGGTAAAATGTGTAATGGCAAACTTGCAATGTTTGAAAAATTATAACTCTATAAATTTAAAATCTCAATTCAATTAAATAAATTTAAAATCTATTACATTTTACCGGAGGCATCGGGTTTGAAGTGTTAACAAGCAAGTCTAGCATACGCACTTTGAGGAAAATTCGAACGATTAAATCAAGCCGAATAATGGATAAGGTTCTAAGTAACAATTCTTTTCGTCGATTTCCTCTTCGTATCCCCACGGTCGTGTAAAGGCTCATCCAGCTATTTTCACAGTTGAAAAAAATATCTAGCACATAATACGACGAACATGACAAGAAATGGTTTTGAAGTCACGTTATTAACGAAAAAGAAAGTCGGAGAGAAAAAATGATCAATGTTACTTAGGATCTAATGCATTGTGCGGGTTGAAATTGGCAAACACGTCCTTTATGTAGAGCTACCTAGCTAGTTTCAGGCCAAAAGCGCTCTTTCTAGACGTATCGTAGTCATTGAGACTTTCCAGGTGATCTTTCCCTCTATACTTCCCGGATGGAAACTTACTGACTTTTCTAAATGTCCTGGAGGCTTTTTTGGAATTTCTTGAATCTTCCATGGGAGTCCTACCCTAGCGTTTTCCTTGAAGGTCCTAGTTAATTTTCTAGAAGTCCTAGAGATTTTACTGGAAAGTTTAATTATTTTTCTAGGTGTCCTCGTAGTCCTTCTTCATAACTATAATGTCTGCCTTGAACTTACCGTTCTTTAAGCACTTCCAGTTTGTTGTTAATTGAAAATTGTCTAGACCTAAACGGCCTCTATCTGACCGAGACTTGAACCCGCTGCCCTAAGCATAGTTTTTTGTCTAGCTGCTGAGCTAAGATAGGCCCATAGAAAGAACTTCTAGATGCTCGATTGGAATTCAAATTATACAGTTTTCAAACATCGACATCGAGTTCACGAGACTTCACTGGATGTCCTATAGCAGGCCTGCCCAACCTTTCTAAACATGATTTTTTATTGGTCGTATGTATGTTTGATAAACATGTTTAAATCTGCATTTTGTTTATTTCTCATTCATTCTGGGCTAAAATTCATAATGATGAATAAAATTAGGATATAATGCTATCACTGCTCCTAAGTAACAATTTTGGATTTATGAGGGTGCTGTAGACCATTACTTAGTAAAATGCTATAAAACCTCGATAAAAATTGTAATGTTACTTGGGCTGAGATCCAGAGACCACGTTTGGCAGCGCTGTCCTATAGTAAACTTTCTGGAACTCTCAGTAACTTTCCCGAGTGATCTGATTATTGCCTTTGAATTTATTGACTCTCTTGAACCTTGTTGCTTTAACGCAAGAAGTTCTAGAATAGTAACATCTTTGGGAGTTCTAGGAATCCTTTAGACTTACTAGGAAGTTCTTGTGGCACTTCTCTGGAAATTTTAATTTTAATTCCTGGATATCCTGACTGGAAGTCCTACCAGACTCATAACGAATATACGTTGTATCCTGGGGAACATGTAAAGGGTGTCCCACATCAAATTGCATCACGGAAAAAGCGCTGTAGAAAATTACATAGTTGACCGATCATTTTCAAACTTTCAGGCAATAAAATATAACCCATTAGTAAGCTTTTGGTCTATTTATTTCATTCAACTTCAATACATGTCATTCATGTTCCCGATCTACAAGAAAGGAGACAAGAGAAACGTCGAAAATTACCGAGGGATCACATCACTCAGTGATTACTCTAAAGTTTTCGAAATCATCGTCAACGACGCATTATTCTCTAGTTGCAGAAATTACATTTCTCCTGACCAACACGGTTTTTATCCCAAGAGATAAGTTTCAACAAATCTAGCTCCGTTCATTTCTTTATGTCTTCGAAGTATGGAACCTGGAGCGCAGGTGGACGTTGTATATACAAATCTTAAGGCTGCATTCGACCGGGTTGACCACTCCATACTGCTAGCTAGACTTGAAAAACTCGGTGTATCCTCGGGCTTAAATCGTTGGTTCAAGTCCTATCTGACCAATCGGGAACTTTGTGTTAGAATCGGATCAGAGCAATCGGACTATTTTACAAACAGCCCCGGTTTTCCTCAAGGTAGCAACTTGGGACCATTGCTATTCTCGATTGTTGTGAAAGAGGCTGGACTGATCCTCCCAACTGGCTGCCGATCATTCTACGCGGATGATGTGAAGATCTATGTGATTGTTCGTAGCTTCGCCGATTGCTTGCGGCTTCAGCACCTAATCGATATTTTCGAAGAGTGGTGCTCAAGAAACTATCTCACGTTGAATGTACAAAAAATGTAATATTATCTCATTTCATTGCAAGCTGAAACCAGTGGCATTCAACTAAAGGGTGATACGATCAAAATTTGGTCAAGGGAAAACGCGTGTACATCGGTGAAATCGTATATTTAAAAAATCAAATTAAATTTCTTTTTCAAGTTCAATTAGTATAAAATTCAGGAAAAATATTCAGTTAGGCTTCCGCTTTTCCAAATCCGAATTGCCGGGCCTTACGCTTGACCCCTGCCATCAGATTTTGTACAGCCACCTTGTCCACCTTCTTCGCCGCAGAAAGCCAGTTTGCCTTGAACTGCTGCTCGCCCTTAGCAGTTTTTTTGGTCTTCTTTAGGTTCCGCTTGACAATAGCCCAGTATTTCTCAATTGGGTGGAGCTCTGGCGTGTTGGGAGGGTTCTTGTCCTTGGGAACCACCTGCACGTTGTTGGCGGCGTACCACTCCATGGCCTTTTTACCGTAATGGCAAGATGCCAAATCCGGCCAAAACAGTACGGAACAACCGTGTTTCTTCAGGAAAGGCAGCAGACGTTTATTCAAACACTCTTTCACGTAAATTTCTTGGTTGACAGTCCCGGAAGCTATGAAAATGCTGCTTTTCAAGCCACAGGTACAGATGGCTTGCCAAACCAGATATTTCTTTGCGAACTTTGACAGTTTCATGTGCTTGAAAACATCTGCTACCTTTCCCCTTCCTTTTGCCGTATAAAACTCCTGTCCCGGAAGCTGCTTGTAGTCGGCTTTGACGTAGGTTTCGTCGTCCATTACCACGCAGTCAAACTTCGTCAGCATCGTCGTGTACAGCCTCCGGGATCGCGCTTTGGCCGTCGTATTTTGTTTATCATCGCGATTTGGAGTCACTACCTTCTTGTAAGTCGATAGTCCGGCTCGTTTTTTGGCTCTATGTACGGTTGTAGACGATACACCCAGCTTATTTGCGGCATCTCGGAGAGAGAGGTTAGGGTTTCGCTTGAAACTACCGGCAACTCTCATTGTCGTCTCAGCGGCTTCCGGTTTTCGATTTCCCCCCGATCCAGACTTCCTGGCTGTCGACAAACGTTCCCCAAACACTTTAATAACATTTGTAACGGTTGATTTGGCAACTTTTAGCGATTTTGCCAACTTTGCGTGCGAGTAGCTCGGATTTTCGCGATGCGCGAGCAAAATTTTGATACGCTGCTCTTCTTGCTTGAACGGCATTTTGACAACTGAAGAGTGAATTCCAAAATCAAAATAGGAGCAACATTCTACACACACACACCTTCAAAATGAAAGGTGTTCAGGTTTTTTAAATGCAAAATTGAAAGAAATACGTCAAGTTGATATTGACCAAATTTTGACCGTATCACCCTTTATACGATAAATCATCAACTTCTGCAACGTGTGGACAATGTTCGTGATCTAGGGATCACGCTGGACTGCGCCTTAACATTCAAGCTTCATTACTCGGGCATCGTTGCGAAAGCTAACAGGCAACTCGGGTTCATTTTCAAGATCGCTGACGAGTTTCGCGATCCTGCCTGTCTAAAAGCTCTATACTGCTCTCTAGTGCGATCGTTATTGGAATTCAGCTCGGTAGTATGGTGCCCGTATCAAACAGTTTGGATAGCGAGGATTGAATCTGTTCAAAGAAAATTTGTTCGGTATTCCTTTCGTCACCTTCCTTGGAATGACCCTGTGAACCTTCCGCGGTACGAAGATCGTTGTCAACTCCTGGGTCTTGAAACATTAGAACATAGGCGGACGATTAGTCAGGCCGTGTTCGCAGCGAAAGTACTTATTGGTGATATCTCCAGGAATCTTGGCTGAATTCGAAATCTACGCACCCGAACGAGTTCTTCGGGCGAGGAGTTTCCTGCATCTGCTGCGAACTACAGCTTGCATGACCCAATACGGTTCATGTCTGGGCGTTTCAACGATTTTTACGAGCAGAGCTTCTGTAGACACTCGTTGAGGTAGATCTCCCCGTTTACAATCCCGGTAGTCACGAACGGTGCATCCATTTTCCACATGAGCAGATCGCTTTCCAAATCATGTATTTCTTGGCAAACGGAAGTCCGCCTTGACGTAATGAGGCTTCGTCGGCATCTGGGTGTACAGTTTCCGGGCCCGTGACTTTCCCACCGCATTTTGCCGTTCGTCACGATTGGAGCCTTCTGCACTTTGTACGTATGCAGTCCCTCGCGGACCTTGGATCTCTGAACGAAAGATTTGGACAGATTCAACTTTTTGGTCACATCCCTGACCGAAGCATTGGGATTCCGCTTAAACGCTTTCTCGACACGCGTGTGATCCTGATCACTAATAGAACATCCATTCTGACCGCATCTCTCCTTCCGTTCGATGCTCAGAGTTTCGTAGCAACGTTTAATCACACGACTCACCGTTGACTGCACGATTCCGAGTTGTTTTCCGATGTCCCGATGAGAGAGTTGGGGATTTTCCAGGTGCTTGCGCAAAATCAATTCGCAACGTTGCTTTTCGGGTGACACCATTTTTTCCAACTTTCGAAAAACTGACAGCAATAAAAATACAGTGTAAACAATACACTCAAAACTACTTCTACCCAAATTTTCAAGAGAAAATACCCAATGTTTTTTTTTCCGTGATGCAATTTGATGTGGGACACCCTTTACTCGTCTAATTTTGCATTGCAATGTTAAATTAGACGAGGTAAACCTTGTATCCGAGGGACCGCGGATATAAAGTACATTGAACTATCTACAACTCGACATTGAAAAGACCATCGAGTTATAGAATTATCGTGTTATACACACCATATTCTGAAATCGCTGTCCGGCAAAATAGTTTGCTGAAATGCGGTCCCAGGTCCTTTCATATTAAAAATGTATGGTAAGATCGCTTGTTTATCATGTATTTTGTAAAACTTCTCGTTGTCGTCGGCACCAACTTGAGTAACGGTATAATGTGATATGAGGGGCTCGGTGGCCTTAGAGCAACCGTTTTTGCTTACTGAGCAGAACATCATGAGTCTAATCTCAAGCCCATTCACATTCAAGATTTGTTAATCGTTTTATGTTAACTTGACTACATGGTATAAGAGCAACTCGATGATTGAAAAAAGAGCTCGTCTGCCTAGTGGCAAACGTTTTTGCTTACTGAGCAGAAGACCGTGGGTTCAATCCCAAGCTCCTTCGCGTTATATGATATTTAGGACATCAATTCAGCTTATCGTTTACCAAATCTTCGTTGTGCTCTTCTTCATCTCCTATGCATGCAGTCGTGGTCAGCAAAGTCTGCAAAGAATTCGTGCGCCGCACGGTGTGTACCGCTCATAGTGTGGATCGCTTTCTCACAGATTAGTTGGAAAAGAGTGTGCGAAGTAAATGGGAGAACCACACACTCTTGTTGAGTGTTGTGAGATGCATGCACAAAGTTGCTTTGCTAACGCTTTTAGGTGCTTTCAGCCCTGCCCATGACTTTGACAGATAAGGGACTGTTCATAAACTACGTAGACAGTTTGGGGGGGGGGGGGGGTTGACAATTATCCACGGCCCTTACAAATTTAAAAAAAATATGCATAATTGTCTACGCAGGGTCAAGAATCTCAAAAAACTGTCTACGTAGTTAATGAACGGCCCCTAATCGATTATTATTCAAATTTTGACATGTCGTCTCTTCATAAATTCAGCCTCTTTATGAAAAATGACAAAGACGCCATTTTAAAAAAAAAATCGCAAGATCCAAAATGGCCGAATTTTGTTAAAATATGAATGATTATGCAATGTTTTATCGAAACCGGAGAAGTTCGAGATTTCCGATTCGTCATTTGGCGTGGAATTGCTCTTTTCTTGGATGCCTGACAAGCATTCGTATCTTCGAGACTTCCCTGGATATCCTAAAAACTTTTCTAGAACGCTGAGTGACTTCTCAGGATGTTCTAGAAACTTTTACTGACATGCTTGAAACTCTTAGAAACGGGAACTTCCCTGCAAAACTTAAAGACTGATGTCATGCTTACAGTCCTGTTCTCGAGACTTCTCTTTCACTATAAGAAAGCCTCCATTGAACTCCTGACTCGCAATAGCTCATGTGAAAATGAGTTGGATGAATTATAAACTCCTCTTACTTTGTCTAGGAATTCTAAAAACTATTCGAACCCAGCCCTTTAAACTACCTCTTGAAAGTCTACAGAGCTTTCCGTGTTAGAACTTCCAATTATCCTCTCAGAATAGCTCGCTACCCGCTTTCCTTATTGGACTCCCTAGAGAAGTCCGCGCAACTCCTATAGTTGAAATTTTATTGAAAATCTAACCTGACATCGAAATCCCCCGTTCCGCCGTTTACCGTTCCTGTGTCGACTTGGGCTAGAAAACTCATCCAACAATCGACTGGCTACAGATCTAATCTTCCCATCTTCCCCTCCCCCCCTCACAGAAGCGACAACAGCAACCACGGTGTACATAGCGACAAAACAATCAGCCACGAAATAGTTCCCCAGGACGAGATCCCGCAGCTCCCGCGGGGAACTAGATTGCCTTCGCCCTGTATTCAGGACGAACGAATCATCAGCATCCGGAGGAAACCGTCGGAGTTCATCAATTCGTTCGACTGGACCTCATCGCTGTCGGATCCGATCTTTTTCGCCGCGCCGGTGACGTGCTTCCGGCATGCGCCGGGCTACGAAATGTGGCCCAACGTGGTCATCGGAATGAAGGTGGAGGTCGAGAATACCGACATTGACGTCCAGCAATCGCTCATCAGCGGAACGCCGCACTCGTTCTGGGTGGCGACCGTGCTCCGAATCTGCGGCTACAAAGCTCTCCTACGCTACGAAGGGTTCGATACGGACTCGTCCAAGGATTTCTGGGTGAATCTTTGCTCGTCTGAGGTCCATCCGGTCGGGTGGTGTGCAACGCGCGGTAAGCCACTGATTCCGCCGAAAAGTATAGCCAAACCGTACAAAGATTGGAAGGAATTCCTGGTGAAGCGTTTATCGAACGCGAGGACGCTCCCGTCGACGTTCTACAATAAAATCAGCGACAGTTTTAAGTCACGCTTCCGTGTGGGTTTGAATCTGGAAGTGGTGGACAAGAATCGTATCAGTCAGGTCAAGGTCGCCTCAATCAATAAGATTGTGGGGAAGCGATTGTACGTCCGGTACTACGACAGTCCTCCGGACGATAATGGATTCTGGTGTCACGAAGATTCCCCATTGATCCACCCCGTCGGATGGGCCACCACCGTTGGACATAATCTTGCCGCACCCGATGAGTACATGGATCGAATGAATGGTAACTTTGATTTTTTTTAGAAAGCTGTTCAATTACAAAACAAATAATTTTCATTTTCCCTTGATTCTAGCCGCCCGCGATCAGATCCTCGAGCCGAACGAGGACGATGCCACGATGGATCTGTTCAAGACCAACTTCCACTTTGAGGAATACTACCTGGAGGGAAAACAGACCGGTTTCGAGGAAGGCATGAAACTGGAAGCCATCGATCCGCTGAACCTGTCGTCTATCTGCGTGGCCACAGTGATGTCGGTGCTGAAGTTCGGCTACATTATGATCCGCATCGATTCGTACGATCCGGACGTCAGCGGAGCGGACTGGTTCTGCTATCACGAGAAGTCGCCGTGCATTTTCCCGGTCGGGTTCTGTTCCAGCAATCAGATTACGCTCACGCCTCCGAAGGGATACGATTTGACAACTTTTACGTGGGACCAGTATCTGGTGGACACCAATAGCAAACCGGCGACGGAAGATCTGTTCTATCGGGACCTGATGAGGCAGAAATTTAAGGTGAGTGGGAAGGAAATATTTGAAAACGATGCGCGAAAAAATCGTGCAATTGTTTATTTATTAATTTAGTATTAGGGGAACTAGGGGCAAGAAGGTCACCCGGGCAAGAGTGCCACCCTCGATATATTTTGAAAATGAAATCATTTCAAATTTATCTCACGATGAACCTATGCACGGTATTGCTATGAAGCATTCTAAAAAGTTATGTCCGAATCGAAGTCGTAAAAAAAAAAGCAAAAAATCATTTGATGGTTGTTTGATACATTAATAACAATAAATTATTAAATATTTTGTTTAATTAATCAAAAATTATGTTCCTAAAAATAAACTTTATACGGGGCAAGAGTGCCACCCCTACATTTATGTATTAAATTGTACAAAAATGTTCAGAAATTAACACAATTGGGCATTTATGTTTCCAATATACATTGTTTTCGTGAAATTTTGGAAAACAAACTGTATAAAATAGTATCAAAAATAGTTTCCATTTGAATCTTTGACGCACATGGTTTATATGTTTTAGATATAAAAAAATATATCGTTAAGTCAATATTTTAGTGGAATAAACAATAAAAGCAGATGCTGTTATACCTAAGAATAGTAATTTGTTGTTTGGAAATGAACATTTATCAGTTTCACTTCATTTTAGACATATGGTCTTTTTGCCCCATAAGAGTGGCCCTCTGCCCCGTAGCATTTTTTAGAGCAGGTTCGACATGACATTTTGAAAAAAATCATTAACATTTTTTGATGGGGTTTAATTTTAATTTCAATGATGATACATGGAGACAAGGTTATAAACTTACAATTCGATTCACAAACTCCTATAAATATTCACGGAATCACATATAAAAACGCGCTATCGTTGCCCCTAGTTCCACTACCTTGATTCATCTGACAATTATTGATCTATTAAAACAAGACAAGAAATTCTTCTAGCAAGCACATTTAGCGGAACATTAACATCCAATATAGTATAAGCATCGTTGAACGCATTGGCCTTGGCGCGGACAGGCTCATTCATTCTATGCTGTTGGTTACGAGCGGCAAGATGCACGATAGATGCAGCATAGAGGTAGACTACCTAAAATTTAACGTAGTAGCTTTGCCAACGATGATCTGAAGTGTATTCTATTGCACTATAGGTCAAGATGGAGAAATGATGGACAAAAAAGTTATGATTTAAAAAAAAAACTCAAGTTTTTTTTTTAAATATCCAAAACATGGTCAAATTACTTTTTAACGAAAGTACACCAAATTTACAATAAAAAAGCACTGAAGTAATTTTTTCTTGATCGCACCGTTTTCGAGATGTAGCGGTTTAAAAGTAAATATTTTTAAAATGTTGGTAGTTTTTGGCCATTTTTAAATGTATTTCGTGGTTCTCCATTACCGGCAATATTTTTTTCGGAAAGATCAGAAAATTTTACAATAGTGGATATGGGCAGAATATGTATTGATTCAAATAGTAGCAAGCCTAAAAACATAACTGTGACGTTTATTTATAGTTTATATAATAAAATCTTATTTTTTTTAATGGGACTGACTTGCGGTTACTTTTCGCTTTTTGCAATAGCACAGCTCAAAAAACAGAAAGATAAACTAAATAATGATGCTAACTCAAAATTGATAAAAAAAAATACATATGGGACTGTTTTGCGGTTACCGGCAGTTCAGGAGGTAGCAGGAAAAACTTTAGGGATGTCCTGATAATTACAAAGAAATTGAGTGATTTAAGGCAAAGTTCCGTGAGCGTTTATAAAGTTTATAAAACTTAAGGAAATTTGTGGAAACTTCAAGGCAATTCAATTAATTTCAATAAAATTTCGGATTCTTATTAAAAAATACTGAGAAATTCAGGACAGTCTAGAGAACTTTAGGGAAATTCAAAAATCTTTTGGGCAGTTTTAATAACATCAGGAGAGTCTAGTCTCAATATTAAAATTTGATTCGCGCCAGAGGGGGTTTCGGTGTGGTCAACGGTTCCCGCATGACGACACTAAGTAACTTGCTGTTCGGCAAGAGCCCATGCCCATGCAGATGAGCAACAACAACTACAGGGTTCTGCCTGCTGTAGAACTGCAAATCCGAAGCTTATCTGGATCTCAAACCATTTCCGAAGTATGACTGATCTGGAGTGGAGGGATATTTGATGGTTTTCATCGGTAGTACATTGGCCATTGGTTTTCATTGGTGATGATGATGATGATGGTCCCACCAAAGATAAATACTAAGATGAAACTGTCGGAAGAAAAACTTTCTATTTGAGTGTCCTCTTTCACGGTCCCTTTCATCCAATGAATACCCCCCGTATTCAATGTAATTTTGTGGTATTGCTGCCCCCTCGGTAGAAATGAAATTTTGCGCTCATTTTGATCAAAACAAACACCAAAATCAGAGGTGTCCCATTTTTTAATTACTCGATTAACAACTAATCGATTTTTTTTGTTCGCTGTGCTGACATTTTTCCACCAATGAGAGTGCAGCACATGTTTGAAACGATCGATGATGATCCTCTGGAGAAGTTAATGCTTATATCGGCATGATATAACCGATTACAAATATTTTACTTTTCGGTTCGTTAATCGATTAATCGATTATTCGAATGAAAATCGGCCATCACTAGATGTATGTGAAACGTCGTTTCAAATATATGGACCGTACATAAATAATGATACAATTTGAAAGGGACCGGGGCTCATCACAAATTACGTCCACACGGTAACCGAAATAAACACGAGTGTTCACCGGTTGGTCGCACCTCTTACCCCTACAAAGGTTTGAGCTGGACGATTTATGTTTAAGATAATTAAATATGACATTTTAACCAGGTTAGCAAACAAAATCGAACTGGTTTCAGTTACAGATATAAATTCCCTCTAGAGTTTACAGTTGCTTCACAGCGATATAAATGTGGAAAAGCTCAGGCGTCCACCCCTTAGTTCGCCTTTTTGTCCACCTAAAATATTCATAAGTATTACAAGTATTAACCTTACCAATCAGGCTAAGGCCTTGTTGTCCTCTGCTGTCCGAAGAAGTCGTCTCCACTCTACTCGATCCATGGCCACAGTTCGCCAGCCTCGTAGTCTGCGAAGGGTCCGCAGGTCACCTTCTACTTGGTCGATCCACCTTGCCCGCTGCGCGCCTCTTCTTCTTGTTCCTGTTGGGTCGCTTTCTAGAACCATTTTCACTGGGTCGTCGTGCGGCATTCTTACGACGTGCCCAGCCCACCGTAGTCGCCCAATTTTTGCAATGTGGACGATGGATGGTTCTCCCAGCAGCTGGTGCAATTCGTGGTTCATTCGCCTCCTCCACGTTCCGTCATCCATCTGCACTCCACCGTAGATGGTACGCAACACCTTCCGTTCGAAAACACCAAGGGCGCGTTGGTCCTCCACGAGCATAGTCCAGGTCTCGTGGCCGTAAAGGACCACCGGTCTAATCAGCGTCTTGTAGACAGTCAACTTCGTGCGGCGGCGAATTTTATTCGACCGGAGCGTCCTCCGGAGTCCAAAGTAGGCACGATTCCCTGCCATAATGCGTCTTTGAATTTCTCTGCTGGTATCATTTTCGGCGGTCACCAGTGAGCCCAAATACACGAACTCATCGACCACCTCGATTTCGTCACCGTCAATCTGAACTCGGGGTGGGAGGCTAACATTGTCTTCCCTTGAACCTCTTGCTTTCATATATTTTGTCTTTGATGCGTTGATGGCAAGTCCAATCCGTCTAGCTTCAGCCTTCAGTCTGATGTACGTTTCCGCCATCATCTCAAAGTTCCGTGCCATAATGTCAATGTCATCGGCGAAACCAAGGAGCTGAATGACTTCCTGAATATCGTGCCACTCGTGTCTATCCCAGCTCTTCTGATCACACCTTCTAACGCGATGTTGAACAGCAGACACGAAAGTCCATCACCCTGCCGTAACCCCCTTCGAGATTCAAAGGGACTCGAGAGTGTCCCCGATACTCGAACAACGCACGTCACTCGATCCATCGTCGCCTTGACCAATCGCGTCAGTTTATCCGGAAATCCGTACTCGTGCATAATCTGCCATAGCTGATCTCGATCGATTGTGTCGTATGCGGATTTGAAATCGATGAACAAATGATGTGTGGGCACGTTGTATTCGCGGCATTTCTGCAGAACCTGCCGAATCGCGAAAATTTGGTCCGTGGTAGCGCGGGCACCCATGAATCCCGCCTGGTATTGCCCCACGAACTCTCTTGCATATGGTGACAGACGGCGGCATAGAATTTGGGAGAGTACCTTGTAGGCGGCGCTCAGCAGTGTGATCGCGCGGTAGTTGCAGCAATCCAACTTGTCGCCCTTTTTGTAGATTGGGCATACGACACCTTCCATCCACTCCTCCGGTAATATCTCCTCCTCCCAAATCTTGGCAATTACCCAGTGCAGCGCTCTAGCCAGTGCTTCACCACCGTATTTCAATAGCTCACTTGGTAGTTGATCTACACCAGTTGCTTTGTTGTTCTTCAGCCGACCGATCTCCTCCTCAACTTCTTGAAGATCAGGGGCCGGTAGCCTGTCGTCTTCTGCGCGTGCTCCAAGGTCTGTTGCCGTGCCACCTTCGTTTTCTGCTGCTTCACCGTTGAGGTGCTCGTCATAGTACTGCTTCCATCTCTCAATCACCTCACACTCGTTCGTGAGAAGGTTACCGTCCAAGTCCTTGCACATATCGGCTTGCGGCACGTAGCCTTTGCGCGAACTATTTAGCTTCTCGTAGAACTTCCGTGTGTCGTTTACGCGGTACAGATTTTCCATCGCCTCGCGATCTCGATCTTTCTGCTGACGCTTCTTCCTTCGGAAAACCGAGTTTTGTCTGTTCCGCGCTTGTCTGTATCGCTCCACATTCAATCTCGTGCGGTGTTGCAGCATTCTCGCCCGTGCTGCATTCTTCTCCTCTACTAACAGTTTGCATTCGCCGTCAAACCAGTCATTTCTTCGGTCCGGGATTGCAGTACCTAGTGCCGCTACAGCA